TGATACAAGTATTGAAAGGGGTTGATTTTTTGCTAGGGCTGATCAAAGTAACCTATAGGCAGTGGCGTAATTTTAGTAGGCGAACACCCTAATTCTTTTTATTGTCTGATACTTCGCCCTATAATCATGAATATTCCCAACACCTAGCGCAAAATGGAAATCCCAGCATTCAGTTTCGATTCTTGACCAAAAAGTCAACACAAATTGCCACGCAAAGTGGTGGAGGGATAAGAAGGGTGGGGTGGGGGATAATAATTGCTATAACTAGAGGCACTACGTTCTTCCACAACATCAGGTGAGGCAATTACTAGTCTTAATCCGAATTTTAGAAATGCTCTACGGCTGACTGATCATCGGGGGTGCTATAACTTAAATATATTAGGAATATTGAAAGTTCATTGGCTGAGTACTAAAATCATGCACATATTTTATCTCTAGGCTGTAGGCCCCAGATATTTGACACCTTTTAAAACTATTTAATACACCTGACTATGCTCTATGATCTGTTTCATTTTCGGCTGAAAGCAGAACTATCAATGATTATTAAATAAAATAGTTTTATAAACAGGGATTTCTCGTTTTCAGAGCACATCTATATCAATATTGCAAAAAAAAAAAAAAAAATAACCGTGACCGCCTCTTCCCAGAAGTGTCTTCATGAAATATGTCGGTCTCTTTTTTAAGCGCAGGGAGCCGCGGTGGCTCAGTGAGTAAGATATTAGCTCTATAACCTGGAGGTTAGTTGCAATTCGATGCCAGGGTATACCATATGTCCTTCTCCATTAGCCGATTTTTAACAGAACAGTTGGACTTTTCACCCCGATTCATTTCATTTTACTTTTATAAAGCGATGTCCAATAGAATGTATTTTCTGTTAGCCGCCCTTGAATTTTAATTAACTTACCTACAAACATCAAACCTACAATGATGAATTCAAGTTTCATGTTTCGCCTTCAGACTGACCACAAAATTGGGCCACACAAAATATCCAACTTAATACTCCAATATTTTACTACTAAGAAACGTAAATACGGCGTTAGTCGTATACAAAGATTTAGGACGTTTTAAAATACAAGCTTTTGAAATGGTGTTTTCATTCAATTATAGTTTGAAGCAATCGAAAGATGACGAACATCTAAAAGGTTATTTACATGCCCCAATGAAAAGTTCAAATCTTGTTAAGCTTCAGTGATTTTGTTATTATAGATATGGACGAAAAATTTTAGGGAATGCGAGTCCTTTCATAATTCATGGACAGAGCGTGTTTATTATCCATTAATGATGTATTTGATATTTCTAGAAAGATTATACATCAAAGATTGAAAGAATTTGGGTTTATTGTCTTGTAATTATATTCCCTCATCATCTACTTGAAACAATTGCTACGAGAAATATAAAAATCCTCCAGCTAATTTTAAATTATCAAGTGAATAAACACAATTTAGGGATCAGAAAACTTGAATTGAAGAAGAAAACATTTTACAGTGAAAAGATATTCATACGGGCACAAATCATTCTTTTGACTATAACGGCGACCTTGCATAGGTAGGTCCAGATCCATAGAGAGTCTGATCAACTGTTGTGTAATTGTTATTGAGTAACAAAATGACTTTTTTGTTTATAACGGTGACCCTGTTTAGGCCCAAGGTCAATTATAGAAATGAAATTAAATGGGGTTTTACGTCCTACTGTTCTGCTTCAAACTGGGCTAATGAAGACGGACATACGCCATGCAGTGTGTATATATTGAGGGAAATTTTGATTGTCTCAATTGTAATTTGGTAACAAAATGTTTTTTAATGTCTAATCTTAGTGCCATGCAATAATGGAGTCTTACATAGTTCTCGCCCCTGACTCACTATATCTTAGGCAGAACTATCATTTCGTTCGCTTTCACTAACACTCATTATTCTATATTGCTTAATTTACACATTTATCTCATTAAAAAGCTTCGCGCTATCAAAGTATTTATGATTCTGCTTAACCGAAGCAGAATATGCTAACTATACACTAAGTCTGCCCGCACTCCCCCGCTATTAGAATCATATTTATCGTCTTTATTGACTATCCCTTTTTGACTTAAACGTGAAATCCTCGTCATCGAAGTCAGTACATTCACTTGAAATGACTTGAACACCTACATCAAGTTTAAACATTCTACTTCAGTTAGCAGCAGAGTTACAGTGTTCTTAACACTGTATCGGACAAGCGGACAGACAGGTTAATCGAAATACCTACTCCCTCTATATATATTCCCAACGTAGTATAACGTTCTCGTTAATGCATGGATGAGATATTCCCGCCCCGTTCCTCGCGGGTGTTTTTATATAAGTAGGTTTTTAGATGACGCGATAAGCGTGTTTTGTATTTACAATAGGTAAAAGGGTAGAGAGGTACCTAAAACGCAGATTAGAACAGTTTAAGGTGGTACGCAAATTGATTAATAACTATATAATATATCTTTTTTAGTCATACGCTTTGTGTATAAAGTATTAGATATAATACCGATTGTATATAATTATGATAATGTATTATGTATAGCCGGTGCTGGACGGAAAACCGCGGTTCACCCATAGACTTTTTGACATGCATGTAAAAGAACCGTAGACATTTGTTGGTCACGGTGGTTCAGCGAGTTAGACGTCTCTCCAACCATTTTGTCCTTGTTCGATCCCTGCGTTGGCCGAGAAAATTATTTTGATTTTCCAACGTGGTTCCTTCGTGTCAGTGGTGCAGGACCGAGGGCCTGGCAAGCGACAACGTATAGTCGGTCGGATGTCACATTGGCGGTTGGAATTCGATATGATAGTAGGCCGTAGTGCTGCTGTCCTGATAAAACTTACCCAACAACACACTGTACGGCGTATGCCCGTCTTCATTAGTTCAATGAAGAGTAAGAGTAAACGGAAACGCCGTCGAACTAATTAGAAAATAGTACAGCTGAATGAGGCGTGCTTAGATAGTTTCTCACAAACTCCGTCTAAGTATTGTTTGATAGTCGAGGGCGAGACATTAAGCAATATATTGATGCTGCATGACGAGATTAGTTCGAGTGTTATTTCAACATATTACACAAAGTCTTGCTGGAAACTATCAACAAACTTAAAATACAGGCGAGTTCAATATTTCATCTAGTATATGGACTTCACGGGGGAGCAATATGTCGAGCCTTAGGCCTATTTTATATTATACTATTCCATACAACTATAACTGAGAGAAAATATGTACTAAAACAAATGCCCCCATCCCTCTTTCCGGTGAAAGAGGTGTATATAGGCAAAGTAAAAAAAAAAAACCAAATAAACAATATGTGCCTCACAAAGATCCCTGTATCCACGATCTCATTATGACACTAATTTAGAGAAAGCGAATGATTTATAGGTGATTGAAATCTGAATACATACATGCACAATCAGATCTATCACATTATTTATATTACTTCCCTGCGGGTAAAGTTTTATTATTATCATATTTTTTATAACGCAATGACTCAGACGTCAACATCCCACGCCCTTGGGCATAAGTACAGGGAGGTATTATAAAACAGAATACAGAGAGAGAGAGAGGGGGGGGGGGGGCACCAATTATCAATTTAAGTATAACTTGTTGCAGCTTTAAAAGAAACAATTTATGATATATTTATATCTAACACCAATTATATATGAAACAAAATAATGTCTATGACAAGAGGCAAAGAAGAGTAGGCGTTGGGTTTGTTTTGCCAAACTTACAGACTAAATATTAACATAAAAAGTGGATGTGACACCGCCCCATGGGCTCGGGGCATGCACCAAAATAAATAGTTGCTGTCTTCACTGTATAAGGAATAAATATGCAAAGTTATCAGGGGATCCATTCAGAAATTGCAGTCTGTAGACGATAAATACAAAGATTTGACGTGACTCTGCCCCTGGGGGTTAGATAGGAAACGATTTAAATAGGTACCACCCTGTTATCGAAATGATTGATATGCTGAATTTGAACAAAACCTGTAGAGTATTTACCGACACAAAATGAACAAAAACATGGGTGTGGTACCACACCCCTGGGGGTCGGGACATGCACCAAAATAAATAGTTGTTATCCTTACAGTATAAGGAATACATATCGCCTGTTCCAATATGATCCATTCAGAATTCCAGTCTGTAGACAAAAACACAAAGTTTGTGCGTGGCTCTGCCACTGAGGGTTGGATATGGACTAATATAATAGGTACAACCCTATGATGGACCATTCTGAATTAGATCAAAATCTGTTAATAATTGCAACCTGCATATCATTTACCCAAAAAATATTTTAAACAAGTGGGTGTGGCACCGCTCAAAGCGGGGCGAGAAATCATGCACCAAAATCAATAGTTGCCGACCCTAAGCTATAAGGAATACATATGCTCTACCCCTGTGGGTCGGATCATGCGCCAAATCAATAGTTGCCGCCTTAGGCTATAAGGAATACATATGCCAAGTTTCAAGCTGATCCATTCAGAATTGCTGCCACTTGGGGTCGGGAAATGCACGAAAATCAATAGGTGCCGTCCTTAGGCTATAAGGAATACATATGCCAAGTTCCAATACGATCCATTAGGAATTGTGGCCAGTGGGCAACACACAGGCATACAAAGAAAAATGGGTGTGGCTCTGCCCCAGGGGGTCGGACAATCATCAAAAAACAATAGGGGTCATCCTTAGAGTATAAGGAATAAGTATGTAAAGTATCAAAAGTATCTGTTAAGAATTAGAGTCTGTAGATGAAACACAGACACACACCTACACACAGACATGGCGACAGCAATATACGTCCACATTATGAATTTACTTGTTTACCCGTGATCTTGACAAGAGAGGTTAACGTCCACTTGACACAAACTAACTCTTTTCGGGACTAAAAGATCTTCAATTTCATTTCAATAACCGGGAGAAAATTGAATAGTAGAAAAAAAAGTCAATTTCCATGGAAACACAAATTTTATTTATCTGAAATTTTTCTGAGATGTGCTCCGGAATAATAATTGTGCATTAAAATTACCATAACAAAAGTTATTAACTGAACAGGGCACAACTACAATATAAAGGTATGTCTACAAGCTTTCATTAATAGTAACTGCAGGAGAACGGCACAACACGCAAAATAAAACCGATAAGACAAACCTCCGCACTAGTCCAACTACACCGACATTGCAAGAAATAGACAACAAATAACAAATCAATTAAAGGGAATAGGGAACCAGACAGCCATAGGCGCCCAATGCGCTGTACGTTCCCGGACCTGTAATAATAAAGGCTTCACTAAAATTAAAATACAAATTGATTTACAAGAAAAACCAGTCTTGAAGGTGGTCGTCCTCTGAATGTCTTTAGTCTGACAGTAGTCGTTATGAGTGAGCACGTCAAAACCAAAAAAAATAACAATAAAAGGGGCGATAATCCGGACAGAACTTTGGAAAACATTAACAGTTAATAAATAAAATTTAGTGAGCGGTATTGTAGGCGGTGTATGAAATATATTCGGGAATAATCATTGTATACCAATTTGTTTCCATGGTGTTGGCGAGAAAGTTCGTTCGGGATATTCCAGTGTGGATTCCACTTGTCAGAGAGGCATCATAATCTGCAGTATTTAAACTTACCACACTAAGTCTTGTTATCGCTGTTACTTTAATAGAATTGGCTAGTGCGTGATTAGATTATTTCTTTGTCTTGCATTGAAATATTCGCTCAGCCAAATGATAATACAAATAAATGAAACTGAAATTACTGAAACAACGCTTCGGGTTTCAAAGCCTATAAATGTCCAAAACAAACGAATTAATAAATATCGCGTTTGTTGGTTTCAAGTTCTAAAGCTGTCTTTATCGTAAGCTTGATATGTCCACGGGGATACTAGATTGTGGGATCCAAAAACGGAATTGACAGAAGTGCAACCCCCAGTGATATTGATATCGGTCTGGTACCAGCTTTGTCAATCCATATACCCGAGTTAAATACTAAACACACCGAACACATGTTTCTTCCGCCATGGTCGATTTTCACATATTCTTAATCTTATTCAATGGACCGTGTACCGTGGTAATTAAATTTCCGAACTTCAATCAGATATCCCCACAAGATTGTTGTTTTAACACAAATTAGTACATATAATGCAAGGTCCCTGTTTATTATTGGTTAGCATAGGCACATTTTCAGTTGAGGATGCCATGTATGCATTTGGAAACAACCTCAGTAACTAGAACATGTTGGTACGTCTACAATGATTTGTGGATTATTGGTGTTACTTATTCCAGATAAGTGGTTGTATGCAGGCATTATGATCGATATAGCATACGTGGTTATTAAAATAAGACATTAAAACAGAATGGTTGCTATGGTAAACATTAACACACTCCACACCGAGACACTGACCATGGTTGATGAATCTGAAAAATAAATTAAAATAAAATTAATAAAATAAAATTTTAGCAGATAGAACGTCAGGGTAAATTGTTCCAGCTGTCCGCATAAAAATTCTTCAAAGTGAGAACATTAATTCCGGAAGTTACATTACGAAATAGCCGAAATTCAATTGTTTTCTTCGTTTCACCAATCAAACCAACATATAGCAATTTGAAGCAGATCGGGTGATATATATGTTGTCGCAGTGCCAGGTAAGTTATTCTTGCTTCAGTAATTTGAACAGGGCGTATACATTTTAAGCAGATAATTAATTTAGTAGTGAGAGGGTACACAAAATGTTACAAAGTCTCTTCAATCAGGGCAAATTCAATCAGATCAGATATCTTGTGTCGCTAGACTGTTCACAGGATGCTATCACGTGAACAATGACAATATCTCTGGAATGTATATATTTACAAAACAATTGATAAAATTCAGTGAGATTTGTCGTACTATGTAAACAACGCATGTACCTTTGACAGTTTTTAGGGAATTTGCAAGACATTAAGGATGTCGGAAGTGAAAATGTCTTGGAAATCAAGTAAGCCGGTGGCATTGTATGGAGACGGATATCCAAGAATGTAGTAGTTACATGCACAACAATCTTATTATTCCATAACGTCTATATATTAAATTGATACAACGATTAATAAACCTAACTGTTGAGTATATATACATGATTTATACTTACCACATAAATATGTTGGTTTAATGGATGTATCTGAAAAATTGATTATTGAATCTATCGTTATTACCAATAAACTGGTATATTGCTAGGGTGTGGCGGCACAAAACCCAATATTTATAACGTTTTGGGGTTCAGGAACTGTGTTGAACATGCTAGAGTAAATTTAAAGTAAATCTGCGCCACCGATCAGAATCTGCCAATAGCGTTTAAAACTGCATAAAAACCATGTGATTTTTTTCCGTTTACGAGAGCGGGGGCTGAAACTCTAAAGGGATGTTACAACTCTAAATCTCCGACATTGCGATCCTTCACGTAGTCCCTACTATATACAGTAATCATGGAGATACTTTGACAACTTTATTGCCAATTGCTCTGGAAAAGATCAATATGTATTACATTTATACAGCCAAGTTCTATTAGCCAAGTATGCTTATTTAGGCTCAGTGAGCTTACTGAAACACGATTTGTTTATTCGCATCAGTGTGCGTCAATTAAAAGCCCGGGTGGGGGGAGCATAATATATTAAACTGATCTACCTATTTCTCAACGGTTGTAGTTCCCGTGAATCAGACGACCAGCACATATTTTTCAAAAATGTGCTAGCTGATTAATTTACCAGAATTATTTCGATTAAATTTTGGTGTACTTAAAATATGACAATTACCTGCTTGACATAACTTTAAATGGAGGGTTTTTTGTTCAGTTAACCAATACTGATATTCTCTGTTCATATACATGTAACATTTACACAATGCTTGTTCCCAACAGTGAATAAAATCACCCTGAGCTCTGTTAAAACAATAATAAATGATACTTTTTGATATAAAAGGTAAATTATTAAAAATTGATAATTGGAAATGTAATCATGGTATCATCTATATAAGACAATATCCAAAGTACAACAAATACCAATGTCAGTATCATCAATTTGATTTATCTGGCTTGGTGGTTGTGTAAAGCCAGAATAAATGTTAAATAAAGAGTGAAGGACCACCAGATTCTAAAGTATTTTTTTAAAGTTACCAATTCGTCCCAACGTTATTAAATATCAATCATTTCCAACTTCAGTTACCGTAAATTTAGCCCCACCTCTCATCTTTTTGTGTCTTCCAGTAATGATAATTTTCCTATAATATTCGTGGGGATTGTGTATATCTGCCCGTACTCAATTACATAACAATAAGAAGATTTAAATTAAAATGGTACATCCTTTTTATTTTGAAATATTTGAGAACGATCTGGTTTGGTGTGCCTTAAGCGATGTTTCGTAGCTAAATTAAGGAATTACATTGATTTTTGTTTGAGGGGACGGGGCGGTGAAGTATTGAGTACGGCACCGGCTAACTAAAATGGAGTGTACACGTTGGCGTGCATGTAAAATACTCTTGCTTGCCAAGATGTATTTGACGAAGAGTTGGCAGAAACGCCGCTGTCCGGGTATAATGTCCTCCATAGCACACTGCATGACGTGCGTCTATCTTCATTATCCTTGGTTGCAGAAAAGTAGGAAATAAAACATATTTGTGGCTTGACAATGATCAGGATTGTGTCGTTTGTCCGATACATCTTACTTGATGTTAGATGGTATTTCCCTGATGCATTACAACTACCATGGTTACAATACAATTATAATTTCTCAAAATAAAAGTTAAAGATTCTTTCGTGTATTAAATGTAAATATTCTTACTGACAAAGAGCAGGGGCATCTTTTTCATGCAATGCTTTAGCTGATGCTTTATCAGATTTTATGTAACATTCTTTAGAAGCTGGACATCTTTCAATATGACCAATAACAGCAGGTGCTAAAATACAAAATTGTAAATTCGACACAAAATGAATTCGACCAAACCCAGCCGATTTTACCTTGACCTCAAATGGCGTATGTACACCTCAGCACAAACATCAGGAAACATCACAAACACGGATTACTAATGTTTTGGGTAAAAAGTTCTACGACGTCTATATTAATCTAGGTTTGTGATGGGGTCCCGTGTATACATTGGAATGAACGTAAAAGATACCTTGGCAGTTGGAATTCGATATAATAGTAGGCGATAGTGCCGCTGCCCGGGCAAAATTTCCCTCATAGCACACTGTATGGCGTATGCCCGTCTTCATTAGCCCAGCATAGGAGCAGAACAGTAGGACGTATAAACCCCATTTCATTTCATTTTTGGGTTTGTGATGATGCACGGTTGATTCCGGTCGTGGACATTTAGTTCTGGTGACAAGAAGAAAAAAAAGAGACTAGACCGCGTATTGTGCTAGTACCACAGTGACCACAGGGTAAAACACGGCGTTTTGTTATAACATGTATATTACCATAAAATACAGCAGTTGTCTATAAAACGCAAGACAGGACCTCCGTGATTAGAAGATTGGTATGGTCTCGTGGTCTTGAGTGTCGCGCTTCGAGCTCTAGCTCTCCCGTCAAAAGGCAAAACCTAGTAACTCACTTTTTTCTTATTTTGAGAAAACAAAGGACAAGGTAATGAATGAATATTAAACCCCAGCTCATCCATTGATTTCACTATTGAGTTACTAGGTTTTACTGTGGTATTCTAGGCAAATGAAGGAAGTTGCTAGGTTGTGTCATGGGTGTAACTGCTTACAAAATCAAAAGATTGAAAGATCTAGGAAAACAACAGGAAGCACAACCCTAGTAACTACAAATTTGGTCCTAACTCAAGTTTGATAAAAAAAAAGGGAGTTACTAGGTTTTGCCTTTTGACGGGAGAGCTGGATGACCACCACTTGCTTGCGGTCGTGGTTTCGATCCCTAGTGTGAGTTTATATAGGATGATTTCTCAATTTCCCCCACACAAACGTCGCGTTAAACACTACGAATACCATCTTTGGAGATAACAATAATTTATCGTACCGTTTAATAATCCCAGTGTTGTTAAAATTTCATCGGATGTTGTACCAGTATTTGGAGAACCAGCTTAAAGAAATAGATTCATTAAATTTTCTTTAGTTCTAAACTCAGCAATTGTGTATCCATAAAATTGTACTTTTGTTAATATGTTGAATTACTAAATGCCACTCACAGAACTTCTACAGAGATAGTTAAAAATGGCTATCAATTTAATGAAACATTACACAAAAGGTTATTTTTACCACTAAAAAGAACTTATTATCGGAACTATCAACACAAAATAGGCTTCTTATCGAAGCTTTTAAAACAAAACTAAGACATCGCACACTATTTTCGCTTTGATAAAATGAAAAGGTTTGAAGGATTTGGTTTTTCAGCGACCATCTTTAAACCGTATAGTAAAATAGGATTATACCTGGACATTGAATTCCTGCTACTCTTTCTAATGTACCACTTACTGAAATAATCCAAGATAGCGGTTAAATACAATATGATTAAAATACAGATCTATATTTCGTTTCGTTTTTATACTTTCGATAGCCTACACTACATGAAGATCTGACCAGTTGTATTGGGAGGTCGCGTCGGGGGTAATACGAGCGGCTTTTGACACTATGACGCCAGACATCGATTAATCATTCAGCATTGAGGTTTGTAGCGGATTACTCACAGTTCCGTGCAGAGCACGCCTAGAACTCGCCGTAACAGACCGTTTCATTGGCTAATCCCTCACATCAACAAGAACGCCTGTTATATAACAACTGTTCCAGATCATAGTGCTGTGAAGACACGTGAAACGAATTTTTGAACTATAAAAATTGAATCGAAATAGGATGTGTGTTTTAATCAGATTGCGGTTAAATATATTATGAAATAATATGAAAAAGTGAAATATTTAATATATCGATCGTAATGAATGAAATGTTAATACTGAATTACAATCTGTATGATCTCTATGGGATATATTTATTATATCGATTTAAAGATTGTATTAAGTCTATACTTATTTTTGATTACAATCTCTATGATCTCTATGGGATATATTTATTATATCGATTTAAAGATTGTATTAAGTCTATACTTATTTTTGATTACAATCTCCAATTTTTTATACGTCATATATTTATGCGACAAAACTTAGCATGAACCACATTTATACAAATACTAACTATTTATGAAAAGGCTATGTAAATAGGTCAACAACTGAAATCTGTGGACGAATATAAACAGGCGGTTCCTATACCCCCGTCAGACCTGGGTGGCGTCCTTACTGCGCTGCTACGGCGATGGAAATTGGTTTTAGAGCGCGTCAAAATCGCCATAAGCGTAGTAGAAACGCCAGCTATCGCGCTGTGGTCTCCATGGTCGCCAATGATCGCCGATTCTCGGCGTTTGTTTTGAGCATGTTCAAAACAAACGCCAAGGTTCTGCGATCTGAACTGGAAAACTGAACTGGATAATCATGACGATCGTGAGAATCTATTCGTTTGTTTCTAAGCATGACTATTACAAGAATTGGCGTTAAAGTGTGCAAAAAAATGGATCGAAAAAATAATCTTTCATCTTTAATGCTCATTGGTTTTTTTTTAAAAAAAGGCAATAAACACAAAGAAAGAAAACTAAAGGCAAATGCGTTTACTAGGTAGGATCAAGAATTGGATACAGTCAAGAAGGGCACGTTTTGCATGTAGTATTTCCAACATATGAAAAATCTATGACGAAGAGTGTCCATATTCGATCTCATACAAGCTCGTACAACGTCACATATTCAGTTCATTATCATTGGATAAGGACTGCGTTAGACACTATTTTCAAAGAGTTGTTTTTCGATAAAAGTCCACGAATAATTGAGGAATTGCATTTAAATCCACACTTATCCGAACCTTAGCTAAACAAGCAGCGTTTTATATCAAAGTATTGAGAAATTAGGGGCAATCACCACCACTAGAATCGCGCTATGATTTTTAAACATGTATTTATGAAAAATTATATGCAGTGCGAATCTCTCAAATGGGATCAGGTGTAAAAATAATACAGATAAAATAATTACACGCTTCACAGCCCATGGACTTGTAATTTGCATGAGCGAAGGCTATTCCCTTAAGAATTGGTACATATTTTCTCAATCCACAGGTACACGCTACAGTCTCTGTACAGTTCAAATAAGTATGGAACGCTCTGAAAAACAATTAAATGGTTTAAATTTGTCATATTCGTAAACTAACGGATGTAATGAAATGGATTATTCAATATAGATATACTATTTTGAAAGACATTTTTAGACTCAAGTACAATCATAATAAATTCCAAAGGGTATATTATTAACGTCAGTTAGAAATGAAATTGAAATCAGGGAACGATAATTTATATATTTTTGGTGTCATCTGTTGAACCCAATCTAATTTGTTAGCTGTAGTTATTAAAATAGTGATGCATCGGATCCACGCGGGCTCTGTAATGGCTGTAATGATGGTTGCTTCCAACTTCGTTTGTCTCATATGAAATGAGATCAGAGCAAATCAAAGCTGTGATTAGTGAAAAATGTAGAACTGTTCAAATCCGAGTTGTGTCCAAACACAAATAATAATAGTAATTTAGGTTACATATTTGCAATTGTTAGTCGGTCTACCCAATCACGGGATGATGCCTGTAAACTTTTACATGTACCTTAAACATAGAAACGTTTTGATCAATAAACTATGTTTATAGAGCCATTTTTATCACTCTGAAGTTTATATTGAACATAGGGACTCTATACTCACGGGCAGACTACTGGTTTGTTTGCCAAATTGGGAATTGCTACGGCTTGGAAGGCATTAAAACAGTCTGATATCGGATTCTGCTGTTTACAGATATTTACAGGAGCGTCACCTATAATATATGTGTTGTAAAAGATTATATTATTAAATATGCTGACCTCTTTCGAAGAGTCAAGCCTCTCTGTATGGGCCCACCAACCAATTTAGTCTGGATCAAGCCATGAGAAATTAGATATTGTCCGAAAAATGTAAAAGACGATGAGAGGCTTTAAATAAAGTGTATACCAAAAATGCCGTAGTGTGCTACAATACTGTTTATACTTCACTCAGTTCAGACCCTCGGTGTTAGTAAAGTCTCCCTAGCCAATCCCGATAATCAGGTCTTGCTATGGTGACATTATAACATCCGGTTTTAAATGTGGACAACGAATTCCAGGCGACAGTATTACATAGTGATCAGTCTGAAACCAATTTCCGGTGGTTGGCCAATCAAATAAGGTATGTCCCTAGGGGATCCCGAAAACTATCTTGAAAAATCCCGGTGGCACCTAATATAATGACTTTCCAAAAATCCGTCCAGGATTATGAAGAAAGATTTCAGATTTAAAGATACAGAGACGATTGACAACCTACATGTCACCACCATCAACAATAACAGTACATAAGGGTTGTAGAAAAAGAACCCCAGATTTTTTATCAAAACCAAATACGCCTATACAGATTAAAAAGATATCTTGTGAACTCACCTGTACATCGTATCCCTTCTTTAAAAAATACCCCATTAGTGACTGAAATAAATTTAATATGTGATTACTTGATAGTTTTCAGACGTAAATACAGACTACAGATATCAGCAAAGATGCCAGCGTTGGTCGCGTGGCACACAAAGTTAAATGTCCTTAGAGCACATTTTACAAAGATGGTAACAACAAGTGATTTCCGAAAAATGAAGAAACAGGACACTTAAATATCCATGACTGGAATACCATCAAGGTGCGAGGCCGACTCTCATGGAAAGTGTACTTAGTCGTTCGGATAAATGGAGGTGCACATTGGAGATCGCATAGGCAAACTTCTTCGTCTCACATCAGAGAAATGAAAATGGCCAGATGTTAGTATTTTATTGATGATGGATTAAAAGTCACGCCACACAATCACTGTCATATACGTTTAAATCCTGGGTTCCTAACCTCGGGATCGCGGAGCACTTTTGGTGGAGTTGCGGTGGACTACTCTGAAACTTTTAAAAACATCCTATATTTTCGTGAAATGCACATAAATCTTTGATCTATCCAACTCTTGCCACATCGCCAATCGTCTTTCTCCTCTCACGCTCACTATTTGTTTCCGCGGTCATTTATTACATCATTTTGATCTGTAAATAATGGTGATGTTTCATTGTAAAAGGTGACTTTGTTCTTCGAGGAGTCGCGACCAGGATGTGGTTTTCTGGAATGTGGTTTAGGAAACTGCTGGTTTAGATGAACATTCAGCCGAAGACACGATAGTTTATAACAACTACAATATAGCAAGCATCTTTCAGTAAAATTAAGTCTAAAAGGTACTTACGTAGCGTACAATATGCATTGTAAGACCTTCTTTCATTCGCGACATTCTTTATAAATTCATTATTATAATTATCTCCACATTCGCAAGTTCTGTTCTCAAAACACGGCAAGAAACTCTCAATGGCACTAAAATAATAAGGACAAAATACACACAATAAACTAATTAATAAAAACAAAAACGAGATCGTTTACAAAAATATATTTATTATTGAGCATACGCAACCACAAGAAAATAAAGATATTATGTTTAACATAATATTAAAAACACAAAATCTTTCTCTAAATGGGGGGGGGGAGTGGATGGCCGAATGGTTAGCACGTGCACCCTGTATCATAAAGGTCTGTCATTGAGTCAACTGGCGTGGTTTCGATTTCCCCTGGCTGTAGTAAAGTTGTACGTGACAAGGAGTGGGGTCGCCTGTCCAACCTCGTGGGCTTTCTCCGGGTCCTTCGGTTCCTCCCACTGCTAAAGACCATTATGTGCGGGCGAATTATTGAACGAAATAAATTGAACTATGTTTGTGTCGAGTGCACGTTAAACCCCATTTCTCTCTCTCTTTCTCTAAATTCAACTGAAGAAGTACCATGTATATAGAATATAACAAGGGAGCTAACTACATGATATTGTAAATCATTATTTTGTTCGTTATACACTTACTCACAAAATGCTCCAAGATCTTTATTGTACAGAGCTGTACCAGCAGCAACACTTAATTCTTTATAACATTTCTGTATTCCTGTACAATTCTTTTCCAATAAAATAACCTGCGGTACTTGGAAAATAGAGTTACATAACATAGTTTTCATTCATTTAAATATGCATTAACGTTTTCCTGGTATAAAACAGAACAATAAATTGTTTATCACTCTGTTTTCCCCAAGCAGAAAATGATCAAAGTCATAATCTAACATGAATCAGTCAAGGTATTATTGACGTGTCATTATCTCCCCACCCTTTCCACTAGTTATAAGCAAAGCTTTTGTGTTCTAAATGAGATTTTACTTACATGATTCAAAGGCTAGAATCGAAAGTGCAGCATCAGCACCAGAACTATTAGCTACTTGTCCTGTAAAAAGCGTAATTGATACCATATTCATATTAACAAATGGACTTTTGTAAATCAAATAATATTTTTAACTAAGTATTACATATATAAATCAAAAATAGAAGCAAATATTCCTACCCGCGAAAGATACAGAGCATTTTTACAAAGTAAAAAATCCTTAGAACTGGAAATTTTTAAAACTAATAAGAAGATACTTAATAAATGGACATTTTTACCGCATACCAAAAAAAACAGAAATAAACAAAAATTATTGTTATTAAATTATATGAACAACACGGTAGCTAAACGTACTTAAGTCCTTTCAACTTTCGACTTTCATTTCGTGGAAAGGATCTGTACTTTAATCTACTGCTTAACAACTTAAATTTTCCCTTAAAATGTACAAAAAAGGTCGCTAATAATGTCAAGACTCTGGCCTCCTTAAGGGGAGATAACACATCTTGGGGGGAAACCAAGCTAAATATAATTACACATAATAAAACAGTACCCTTTGAGACTAATAGAAGTAACGTATTCCCTGCACACAATACTAAAGATAATCATCTACTGGCAATAATAAATGAATGTTAAATAAATGATTTTGAAATTGTATGATATAATTATATGTACATATGATGTAATGATAAACCCTATCATGTAATAATACTGTATGATGTACCTGTTATCTGTTATGTAATATTTTTTGAATAAATAATAATTTAAAAAAAAAAAAAAAAAAAAAAAAAAAATAATTCATACCAAATTACATTTCCGTTAATCGCCTGTGATAACGTCATGTTATCTTCTATTTAAATTCATAGAGGTAAAAGTGGTAGATACCAAAACCCCAGTGGGTTTAATCACCAATCGGTATTTAGGTTCTATTTAAGGGGTAGACGTGTTAGATAAATCGCAAACTTCATGGCATGTTCTAATTAAACTGATAGACGTACACCTGACAGATGCCAAAATCAATTGGTATTTAGGGTCTATTGTTTTAGCTTATTAAACAGTATATTAATTTTTTTTTCTTTGAAGTGAAATGGGAGTTGGGCGTACTAATATTAATATTCTGCATGAATCATGCAGTGTGCTGTAAAGGGACCTTTGTACGGACAGCAGCGTTTCCGCTTACTTTTCATCTAATTCCAACAGTCAAAGATACGTTCATGCCAACTCCTTGAACACAGTGTGCAACAAAATGTTCCCCAGTCAAATTTATACATGTTTAAGCCTAGACAAAAGGAATGCGTTAAACCTTGTAATGTGTGCCAAGTAGGGACCGACGTCCGTATTAAATATCGCGGTATGCCCACTAAACGCTTGTAATTCTTTGGGATTTTTTTTTTTTTTTTTTTTTTGAATATGAAAATTTGACTTCCTTGCACTGTTCCTTCTAAGCTATGGAAACCAATGTACGCCCAGATTTTAAACCATATACAAATATATCCTGATTATCAGAAAAGGCCACGTCGCTTAAAAAGGGCTGCATGACCAGTTTTTATTTGTCAATAGTTTTAATAGGTACAAGACAATTTCAAGACTACATTTGTACAAATATCTTGCGCAAAAACAATTTGCATGCCATAAGATTTTGCACACAGTTACAAATATATATACACCCCCCCCCCCCGGCCCCGTAGCCATCTAATCCAATTAATTGTTTGAGGGGTCTATTAGAATAATCAAAATTACCAGGACAAATAATACCGGGATCAGTCAACAGTTCTTCTTGTAGCACTACAAAGATATAAAAAAGGCAATATATAAAATGAAAACCTGGTATGAGGTTATTCTATGGTATGAGGTTATTCTGCAAATAAAACACATTTAATAAAGGTAACTAATTTTTAACCGATAGGTATCTCCCCTTCAGTATGACGCTAAGTGTAGTTCATCAATGTACAGGGCCCTGTTTCTAAAAATCTTAACTAAAGATAAAATCCAAATTTTAGTAGATACTTCGATTAAGATTGGCTAAGCACTAAAATCAATCTAATATTATCCAATCAGATTACTAAAATTTGTATTTTATCCTAGTTATAGGTTAAATTTTAATATCACTTAGGAGAAGTGTTTGGCCATTAGGACAATCGTTTCTTTTGAAAAATTCAACATACTTAGTGTATCTAACTTCCAACTTAGAAATGCTTATAATTTTAAACTTACAATTCCCCCCTCCCCTCCCCTTCCCTCCCCTCCCGTCCCCCGCAACCCTGTTATCATCGACCCACCTCAAATAGGACGCGAATTGTAGTTCACCAATTTACAGGCACATCGATATAAGTTAAATTCTAATACCAGTTAGGTATATTGTTCTTACCCTTCGGACAGCCATTTCTTTTGAAATATTCAACATACGTAGCGACTTCTTGCAGAATAAAACGATTGTTTCCAAGTTTACAATCGCAGGCAACTTTTTCATTACACACAATATATTCTTTTATAGCCCTACAATATATCTCAGTTTTTAGAAAATATAGAAAAAACAAATAAACCCTACAAAACACTGTGTTTACTTTTTATTGACTTGTATTCATAGCATATTTCCCTTTTAAAGACAGACACTCGGTTACCTATAGTATCGAGGACACAACACGGAGAAGGTCTAAATTAAAATAATTAGTCGACATGAAAAAAATTTGTAAATTGAAGCAGAAACATAAACCTATATTATCATAATGTATTTGTGATTTTCGTTCGTCTATTTGATTGTACCAGGGCTTTGCACTGTAGGAAGCGTTACATGGTTCTTATTAAACATACATTATGCAAGAGCTAAATCTGCCTATTGCGGGTCTAAATTATTAATTAATTAACTTATCCAGGCCATAATCGCTAGCCTGCGATATTTACTGGATTTGCTGATTGAATCAAAAAATGGATAATCGAGACTATGTTTTTTTTTATCGCACCGACTTTAGCAATGATGATCGAGGCTAATCCCAAAATTCAATCGCTAAATACTCGGTTCAGGATGAATCAATTTAATTGAAATTTTCATCTATTCCCTATACATTATCTAGTTTTTAACTAATATAGTGAGAACTGCCAGCTCTTTAACTATTCTCCCATTATGTAGCTTTAAGAGGAAGCTAAACACTTAATTTGGTGTCAAGTATTCTATTGTCAATGATTATTGGGTTGGATGGGGGTATGTACAAAAGAAAATAATTGACTTACGTGCAATACAGAAGAGAGTTGTTGTTGGCTGCTTCAATCTTTTGCGAGGCTATTTGAAAGCAACCAAAGATCGGATTTTGTGTTTGGCAGTGATAATTTACCTGACTGTATGCAGATGCTGAAATTAATAATACGAAACCGAAAGATACCACAAATTTGTTCATATTTAGTATATTTCAGTGATACCAGTTTCAGTTTGAATTTGATTATCTAATTAAAAGTAAACAGAGAGAGAGAGAGAGAGAGGGGGGAGGGGTAAATTGCACTCGACACAAAGTAGGTCATTTCGGGACTAACATATGGTTCAATTTTATGTCAATAATTCGCTTGCGCGTAGGTGTCTTTAGCAGTGGGAGGAAACCGGATGACCCAGAGAAAACCCACGAGGGTGGACAGACGACCCTAATAACCCAAAGTTACCACAAATTTGTTCATATTTAGTATATTTCAATGATACCCGTTTCAGTTTGAATTTGATTATCTAGTATAGAAGAATTAAACGCAATCAGATGCTAAAAATAATAATACAAATTTCAGAGATATTAATTTTCAATAATGACATTCTTGCCTTTGGCGCACCCCGCTTTCAAAGAAGCCAATGTGAGTACATGATACATAGCACAATTGCGCATCCAAGATGGCTGCGGCGACGTGATCGTTTCCCCGGTTCATATAGAACGCCCAAACTATTGTTGTACAGGTGAAATTAAATTCCAAGCCCCAGATATTGTTTTTATATAGAATCGTATAATATACATATTTCATTCTCAAGGTAGATCATTCAATAGCTTATATCGATATTAAAGTCCGTTATTTATCGGCATATTCTTTATACAAACAATATATGCTTTTACGAGAAGATGTATTTAGCATATACTTGAAAATTTTTGTAGATGAATAAAATTAAAATTTAATATTATAATATAAACTTAAATTTGCCGTTGTTCTGTTTTCAAAATTAAGCTCTGCCTTAATATGGACGAGTCTTGCAATTTGAATAGCGGTATTGTAATTTTATCATTGTGAGTCAAATAACTATTATTGCCTGAATTAATTATTTAATTACCTCTAATCATGCAATTAACTTACCTAAGAACATCAAAGCTATAATAAATCCTAGTGTCATGTCGATTATTTGTTATGAAATATAAGCCGAATGACTACAAAATATCCAACTGTTATGTCTCAAACCTCAAGGTATTCACATTCGTAGCAATGTGACTATATTATGTTATTTGATCGCCTGACAGATATTGTTCTAACTTGTAATATATTTTTATAAATTATAGCTGGCAGCAAATTAAAGATGACAGATGAAAATTGTTGTCTTGTCTCTCGATAAAATAGGTATGTTTTTTGTATACTTATTTACACCAACATTGTTAGTCGTGTATACTATGCTTCAGTGAACTATCCTCGGGCAATGGCGGAAAGCTATTGTGTCAATAGTACAAGTTTTTTCGTTTTTGTTTCTTTTCATTATCAGTGAAGAAGAATTGTCACCTTAAGAAACACATGATGAGCAAGAGAGAAACAGAGTCAGAGAAACACAGAGGTGTTTAATATAGGCTATGCCTGTTCCCCAATCCCTATTCAGATACAAATCTGAATAAAATATTGCTTACAAAAAAAACCACAGAGATGGGCGAGGTAAAGCCAATTCGACACAAACTAGGTCATTTGGTAGCTAACATGATCAGTTTTAGCAGTGCGGGGGTGGGGGGGGGAACCTGGACAAAGCCCACGAAGTCGACTTACATACAGTCTTTAACTTATGATCGAAAGAGCGCACGTTCAGACCCCCCCCCCCCCACACACACACACACACGATAATCAAAATTACCCTAGCTATACCAACATGGCCCGTAATGTCTTTACGCTTCAGTTAACCTATCCTCGATCAGTTCGCGAAAGCCGTCATATTTTTATATGTTTTGTTTTCAAATAATAATAAAAACACGATTAAAGAAGTATTATAACTTGATAAATAAAAGTAATTCATTTTACATGATATTCAAAATAACCATAGTCTCGCAAGCTTTTATCAGACTGTTTGTTGCGTTGATAAAAGACGAAAACTGAAAAAAAATCATTCACTAGCAAGGACGTATAAAATGATATCCCATGTCAAATTGCATGGTACTTGAATATCAGCTGTTATAATACACTGTTAAAAATGGGTGTTATTACAAACTATAAACAGTGTTAATTAAGTGTAAACTTTACACCACAGCTAGTGTTTTAAGATGTAACACTTTCCCAAGGGTAACCAACTAAAAGAGCTACACCCAACCAGTGTAACCGATATTCATGACTACTGAACACCTGAATATGTGCACAGTTGTCTAATAAACAAATATATGTCATAAACAGAGCTGCAAACTCGACAACACATCTGCCATTAAAGAGGGATTTCATGGAATGGTTCGTCATTAGATTTGCTTCAATGGCCACTGTTGTTTTAATTAAATGTACGACTTTTAAAACTACCACCATTATGATGAGATTGACAATGGTTCGCTATGATTAACTCGATATTCGCGATGACTACTTACCTCTATAAAGTTGAATATATAGACAATTTGAGGTCTTCACTCTCACCTTTGTATAAATGCATATGGTTTGGTTAAAGGTTTGCAAGAGTCGAGTTGTTGGGCTATTTTTATTATTAACATCGGGTGACGCGTGTTTTAAACCTGTAGACGAAATATAAAGGGGTTTCCTCCTCCCAAGTCAGGCTTATGATGTAAAATAGTTTTTTTTATGTGGTTGATTATCCAGTATCTTTGGCCAAGTCGAGCTGCGCCCATTCCCGGCATAAATCTTGCATTAAAATTAACAAACATGAATCGTGACGACGAATTAGGATTAATTAAAAACACATAAATATGGCCCATCATGAAGAGAGAAATTTTACAAAAAAAAAATCAAGAGTGTTGGCATTGCAATCAAATGGATTTTTATTAACACCCAAAAGTAATATTTTACATGTAGAATAAACTCATCCCCATAAAAGTGACAGGTGACAGTTCTAAAGGCTTGTGTTTTTTTTTTATCGCCCCCAGGCTGTACTACTAAGTTCACAGTGGATAAAAACATAACCTATTGACTAGAGGTCGTGCTATATTGTTTATTGGTGAATTTAAATAACAAGGACACATAACTTGATAAATTATTTTCATTAAAGGAACATTATGTAAGATATAGATACTATATTATTTCAAAAATAGATAATGCAAAATGAATATATTGAAAAATTCATTACTTTATTTTGAGCAAAGTTGTAGTTTTAACAAGATGTGTGCATTGATCGTAACTACCTACTGGTCATTCGTGTCTTATCCCCGCTTCATCATACCGTTCTAATCTACTTAAAATCGGAGGCATCCGACGGCATCGAGAGTTGATTATGGTCTTATCAGGTTAATAAAATGTCTAATTTATATAACATTTAATGGTATCCTCCCAAAACAAAGACGGCCATATCTAGTTAGACACCTTAAAACAATAACATATGCTTGGGTGGACAGAATAATTATTGTGACAATCTTGCCTTTGCTAAATAATAGAACAGTCCGACAGAAATACAAGATAAATCATGTATTGGTATTGTTGATAAATGACATAATAGCACACCTAATATGAGAGTACTGACATACACATGGACATATTAACTATTCAACTTATCATATTATTGATAAATATAAATGAAGATTTACTTTTCACGAAACACAGTCACATACGATATAATACACTTTATACAAAATTTTTCACTTATCACAACCGAAATACAAGATAGGCAAAGCAAGGTAGGGACGACGTCTTCATCTTCTTTGGCTACCTGGCAGTTGTACAGTGTGTATTTGGGTAGTTTCCTCTCTTGCATTTTTGCATAGTGTGCTCATAGCAACTTGACTTTGGCATCGTCTGGGGGATGGACATGTCCGTTGACATTGCGACAGTAGTCGCAAACAGTAGTGCACTTGCCAGAGAGCATGCAGTGACGACGCATCTCGAGTGTGTGCAAGTCTGTCGAACTTTGTTACGGTTGTAGAGGTACCAATGTGGTGTTAAATAGTTGATTCGATAAATTAAGAAAATTACGAGATTTTACGCTTCACTAGAATATAAAACAAGCATAAAATATACTCGTTATATCCCAGCAAAAAAAGAATAACACAATTTACATGGAAACACTCACTGTTTTATACACATAATTATAAAACGAAGTTTCGACAAGTATTCGCTTATCGCTTCCACGTACAAATGATCGATAAATTTTTATCACAAAGTTCTTTGCTGCTGAGAATAACTACGGTCTTAGTTAGGACTGACTTGAAAACGATAGTGAAATTTGGTGCCGAGAACCCCGGGATTTTAAATGCCTGTGATTTGGTATTCATGCAAAAAGCGTACGAAGTTGATACACTCATGTGTCTTGGTGCAAACAAGCGAATACAAATTCCATGAAAAAAGTATTACCAGTCACAATTAGTGACCCTACATTTATATGAAATGAAATGAAATGAGGTTTAACGTCCTGATGTTTTGCTCCTAAACTGGGCTAATGAAGACGGGCATACGCCATACAGTGTGCTATGAGGGAAATTTTGCCCGGGCAGCGGCGATTCTTATATCGAACTCCAACTGCCAAGGGATCTTCTACGTGCACACCAATTTGTACACGGGACCTCAGTTTTTCGTCCCATCCGAACGACTAGACAGCTGTCCTTGTCAGGCCCTCCGTCCTGCATCACTGACAAGGGGGAACCACGCCGAAAAATCTGGATGAACTTTCTTGGCCAATGCAGGGATCGAACACCCGACCTCCAGGCTAGCGAGCCAGCGTCTTACCCACTTAGCCACGTGATCCCCCGGGATTCATGCAAAAAGCGTGCGAAGTTGATAACCTCATGCGTCTTGGTGCAATCAAGCGAAAACAAATCCCGGCAATAATTAAAACCAATAATGAATTTCTGTTATCCTTACATAATGACATTAAAAACAAATAAGATTTATGGAAACAGCGATTCCGTTCAAATAAAAAAAAATGTAGAAAACTAGGCTACGCGTTTCTGTTTTTGAAGAGTATATTTTTAGTTTTAACAGTAT